GCCCGCCCCGCGCCTGAGGCCGCCGAGCGCCGGTCCGGCCCGCCAGGCGCCGGTCCCCGGGCCCAGGCAGCGCGGCTCGCAGATGTAGCGGCGCGGGGCCGGCCGCAGGGGGGGCGACGGCGGGCGGGAGCCTTGCATTTTGCAGCGCTGGGCTCCGAGGGGGCGGGGGCCGGAGGAAGCGGAAAGCCGCGCGGAGTCGCCGGGGACCTCGGTGAACCATGTTGAGCCCTGCCAACGGGGAGCAGATCCACCTGGTGAACTATGTGGAGGACTACCTGGACTCCATCGAGTCTCTACCTTTCGATCTGCAGAGAAACGTCTCTCTGATGCGGGAGATCGACGCGAAATACCAAGGTACGGCGGGATGGATGGGCGGGGGCGGCTGCTCCATCCCCACCGGTCGCGGCGCGCCGCGGGGCTGCGGGCCGTCCTGCTCCCCTCCTGGAGAGCCGCGAGCCCGCGGCGGGGCCCTTGCCGGCAGAAACAAAAGGTCTGGAGCGTCTTTGATTTGCCAAGGTCCTTGTGCGCGAAGCCCGGACACGGAGGAGGAAGGAGGAACGAGAGGTCTCAACGCCAGGCTGCGCGAGCAAAGCGCTCTTTGTAGTGAAGTGACGAGGCGGGGTGCTGCGGGGGAGGGGGCGCAGGGGGCGCAGGCTACAGCGCCGAGGGAGGGATGTGCCGCGGTCGCTACGCTGAGGGGCGCAGGGACGGGGCTGTGCGCAGGGCTGCTGGGAGGGCGCTGCGGACGAGGGGTCCCCCGGCCCTGCTCGCTATCCCCGGAACCACCTTCACCCAGTCCCGAATCTGAGTGTTACATAAAGTCCGGGGTCCGTACCTCGCGTGATGTAGCCCCAGTCGCCCCCGCCCAGCCCCCGGTCCTGGTCACCGAGTGAGGGCCGACTTGAGAGGGGCGACGCGGCCGGGTGTAGTTTGCGGAGGGCCAGGGCTTTATTCCGTGTGTGCAGTGGGGAAGGGGAGGGCAGGGAAGGGAGGATGGGGCGAAGAAGTCGCCCATCTGTGCTGCGCTCGGGGGCGCAGGGAAGTATTGTCGGCTTGGAGAGGAACATGGCAGGGGAGAGGACCTGTGGGTCGTTCTCTGCAGCCCCGGCTGCCCAGACTGCCGGAGAGAGACAGAGGGTTCGGGTCCGCTGGGAATTGCTGGCTGTTGGGGAAACTTTCCTGCCTGGTCAGGCACGGCATTGGGGTCTGTATTTGGAACGTGGATAGTCGCTCGGAGTTTACCCATGTTTACAGGACTGCGCAGCAGGCAAACGGAAGAGTGGGGGGAGGTGGAAAGCCAGAAAGCACCCCACAGCGTACCGAAAACCCCCGAGGGGAAGGCGCCCCTGCGCGCTCTACCGAAGGCTCGCCTTCGCAGCGACTTTTATAGGAGCCTTATTAGCATATTGCGAATGTTCCGCCTCGACCTCCTGTAATTGGCCGTAGCATCTCCCATGGAATGT